GTGGTTTAAATCTTTTTATTACCCTGTAAACTTACCGTCCATCCTGATTTTGTAGGTGTGATTCTTTTATTTTGTTCTTTCTAAATAAAGTTCTTCTTTTAAGAACCTAATTGATTTTCAATGTCCTAAAGACAAAGGGTCTGGTCTGTGCTCACATTGTTAACCAATTGGTTGGTATATTATTCTCAAGTCTCCCCAGGAAAGGGGGTGAAGAGGCTTGGGGGGGATATTTTGCGGGGATAGGGATTCCAAGTGACCCTTCCCTGAATTTTTGTGTAAATCACTTGGTGGTGGCAGCAATACCACCCAAGGACAACAAAAGGAATTTGTGCATTGGGGAAATTTTAACCTAAGCTGGTAGAATATAAATTTAGGGGGTCTTTCATGTGGGTCCCCACATCTGTACCCCAGAGTTCAGAGTGGGGGGGGGACACCCTGACAGAGGTTTCTGAGCAATTAAAGTTTTGCTTCACACACAGATGGTTAAGATTGGAAATGTCCATAAGAACGGCCATACTGGGTCAGACCAATGGTTCATCTAGCCCAGTATCCTGTCTTCCAACAGTGATCGTTGCCAGATACTTGAGAGGCAGTTTCCCTGTCCGGTGGGCGTACCATGGATTTATACAGAAGCATTATGGTTTTTTCTTTTTATCTATCCCTTTCCTAATGGTTCCTAACATTTTGTTACCTTTTTTCACTGCCACTGAACACTGAGCAGATGTTTTCAGAGAAATATCCACAGTGATGCCAAGATCTTTCTTGAGTGGTAACGGCTAATTTAAACCCCTTCATTTTGTATGTATAGTCATATATATGTGTGTATTACTTTGCATTTATCAACATTGAATTTAATATGTCATTTTGTTGCCCAATCACTCAGTTTTGTGAGATTCCTTTGTAACTCTTCTCAGTCTGATTTGGACTTAACTATCTTGAGTAATTTTGTATTATCTGCAAACTTTGCCACTTCTCTGTTTATCCCCTTTTTGCCAGATCATTTATGAATATGTTGAACAGCACTGGTCCCAGTACAGATCCTTTGGGGGCACCCAGCTGTTTACCTCTCAATTTTGTGAAAACTGACCATTTATTCCTACCCTTTTACTATCTTTTAATCAATTACTGATCCATAAGGGGACCTTCCCTCTTATCCCAAAACTCCTTATTTTGCTTAAGAGCCTTTGGCGAGGGACCTTGTCAAAATCATTCTGAAAGTCCAAGTGCACTATATCCACTCGGTCACCTTTCTCTGCATGTTTGTTAACTCATCAAATAATTCTAATAGACTATTGAGGCAGGATTTCCCTTTACAAAAACCATGTTGGCTCTTCCCCAACACACTGTGTTCTTCTCTGTGTCTGACAATTCTGTTCTTTACTATAGTTTCAACTAGTTTGCCCGGTACTGAAGGTAAGTTTACCAGTCTGTAGTTGTCAGGATCACCTCTGGAGCCTTTTGTAAAAATTAGCATTGTATTAGCTATCTGCCAGTCGTTTGGTACAGAGTCTGATTTCAGCGATGGGTTATATACTATAGTTATTAGTTCTGCCATTTCACATTTGAGTTCCTTCAGAACTCTTGGGTGAATCCCATCTGGTCCTGGTGACTTATTGCTATTTAATTTATCGAATTGTTACAAAACCTCCTCTATTGACAGCTCAATCTGGGACAGTTCCTCAGATGTGTCACCTAAAATAATGGCTCAGGTGTGGGAATCTCCCTCACATCCTCAGCTGTGAAGATCAATGCAAAGAATTCATTTAGCTTCTCCACAATAGTCTTGTCTTCCTTGAGTGCTTCTTTAGCACCTTGACCATCCAGTGGCCCCACTGATTCTTTGGCAGGCTTCCTGCTTCTGCTTCCTTAAAAATTGCTGTTGTTGTCTTTTGCTAGTTGCTCTTCAAATTCTTTTTTGGCCTACCTAATTATACTTTTACACTTGACTTGCTAGAGTTTCTGCTTCTTTCGATTTTCCTCAGTAGGATTTGACCTTCAATTTTTAAAGGATGCCTTGTTGTCTCCAGCAGCTTCTTTTATTCAGCTGTGTAAGCCATGATGGCATTTTTTGGGTCCTCTTACTGTTTTTTTTATTTGGGGTATACATTTAGTTTGACCCTGCATTATGTTGTTTTTAAAAAGTTTCCATGCAACTTGCAGGTATTTCACTGTTGTAACTGTTCCTTTTAATTTCCTTTTAACTAGCTTCCTCATTTTTGTGTAGTTCCCCTCTTTGAATCTGTGGTGGATTTCTTTGGTATTTTCCCCTGTACAAGGATACTTAATTTAATTATATTATGGTCGCTATTACCGAGCGGTTCAGTTACATTCATCCGTTGAACCACTTAGAACTAACTCCGAAATTGGTTGCCCCTTGTGGATTCCAGGACTAGCTGCTCCAAGAAGCAGACACTAACTGTATCTAGAAATTCTATCTCTGCATCCCGTCCTGAGGTGACATGTACCCAGTCAATATGAGGATAGTTGAAATCCCCCATTATTGTTGCGTTTTCTGTTTTTGTAGCCTCTCTAATCTGCTTGAGCATTTCACAGTCCCCGTCGCCATCCTGGTCAGATGGTCAGTATCATATTCCTACTGCTATACTTTTATTAATCAAGCCTGGAATTTCTAGCCATAATGATTCTGATACAGGGTGAATCATTTTAAGATTTTTACTATATTTGATTCTACGCTTTCTTTCACATATAGTGCCACTCCCCCGCCAGCACAACCTACTCTGTCATTCCTGGTATTACCATGTCCCACTGATTATCATTGTTCCCCCAAGTTTCTGTGATGCCTGTCATATCAATATCCTCATTTAATACCTGGTACTCAAGTTCATCCATCTTAGTATTTAGACATCTAGCATTTGTATACAAGCATTTATAAAATTTGTCAGTATTTAGCTGTCTGTCTTCATGTGATGTATTTGAATATGACTTTTTCATCTGATTGTTTCTCTTCAGTTTCTACCTCTACCTTATCAACGTCTATCCTCTCCTCTTTACTAGGAGATAGAGAATCCCCATTAATAGACCCTCCTCCAAGGGATGTGTCTGTCTGAAGCATGTGCTGCTCTGCGCTTGTTGGCTTCACCCCAGTCCTTAGTTTAAAAACTCCTCTGTGACCTTTTTAATTTGACATGCCAGCAATCTGGTTCTGTTTTGGTTTAGGTGGAGCCCATCCTTCCTGTATAGGCTCCTCCTTTCCCAAAAAGTTCCCTAGTTTCTAAATCCCTCCTCTGAACACCATCATCTCAGCCACACATTGAGACCCTGCCATTCTGCCTGTCTAACTGGCCCTGCACGTGGAACTGGGAGCATTTCAGAGAATGCTACCATGGAGGTCCTGGACTTTAATCTCTTACCCAGCAGCCTAAATTTGGCCTCCAGAACCTCTAGCCTACCTTTCCCTATCTCACTGGTACCTACACGTACCACGACCACGGGCTTCTCCCCAGCACTGTACATAAGACTATCTAGATATCTTGAGAGGTCCGCTACCTTCGTACCCAGCAGGCAATTAACCAGGCAGTTCTCTCGATCATCACAAACCCAACTATAGATATTCTAATAATCAAATGCCCCATTACTATTTCCTGTCTCTTCCTAGTAACTGGGGTCCATTTCCCCAGAGGAGTATCCTCAGTGCAAGAGGATATCATGACATCATCTGGAAGGTGGGTCCTAACTATGGGATCAATTCACTCCGCTCCAGCTTTATGCTTTCCTTCCCTGAGACTTTCATCTTCCTCAAACAGCACAGAGGCTGTCAGACTGGGAGTGCAGGGGAGGTTTATTGGCCTAAGGTTAGAGAATATTTGTTAGGTATGTCTGTCTCTCTCTCTTCCTCTCTAAACTCCCTTACAAAACTCCACTGTTTGCTAGCTCCCCGGGAGTGTTCAACCCCCACGCCCTGCCCCAGGCTCCGCCCCTACCAGCCCCCAGCCCCCAAACCCCCATCCCTTCCCCGCCTCTTCCTGCCCCCGCTCCGCACCAGGCCCTGCCCCACTCCACCCCTTCCCCCAAGCCCCCACCCCTGCCACACCTCTTCCTGCCCAGTTCTGATCCCTCCCCTGAGCGCGCCCCATTCCCGCTCCTCCTCCTCCGCACTAGAGCCTCCCGCACGCCGTGGAACAGCTGATTATGGTGGGTGGGAGGTGCTGGGAGCAAGGGGGAGGAGTTGATCAGCGGGGCCACAGGCAGGCGAGAGGCACTGGTGGGGGAGGGGGGCAGCTGGCTGCTGGTGGGTGCTAAGCACCCACTAATTATTTTGTTCTGTGTTGGTTCAGCGCCAAGCACAATGGGACCTGATCTGTGACTGGGGCAGCTAGGCCCTACTGCAATCCAAATAATACATAAGAATGGTGCAGGTTTGGTGATGTCTAGAGCAACAGGGTTCCTGCTAGGGGTTTGGGCTTAAACAGTTTTATAATGTGTATTTCAGTTTCAGTTCCAATGAAATATTCATTAGTATACTGTGCTTGTTCACATAATTTTCCTATTAATTAGTGTTTCATCTCTTTTTTATTGTGTTATTAAGGCCCTAAATATTGGAAAGCACTGCAGTAAAAGATAATCAGCATATTGGAAAACATTCCGGGGCTTGTGCATCACTCTGAGTACTGATCTGGGTTAGAATCTGATTGCCTTGTTACTTCAAATATTTGAGCTGGGGATTAAAGGCCTATGAGGCTGGTAACAAAAGGTCCAGACCGTTCAAGTCAATTGGAGCTTTGCCATGGACTCCAGGGACCCCATCCGTGGTCTGTCTGCCAGAGAAAGTGATCAGAGCCCCTACACGCGTTATTTTCCAGGGCCTTGCCCTGTTTTAAATGGACTGTAGGAAGCAATCTTACCCTTGGCCTCAGCAGATGGATTTAGATGGGACCTAATAGATCCTTTGTCTTTCTGTGATTCTCTGATTCTTGTTTTTTGCAAAACGGATGTATTCGCTTGATTAATCCCTTTTGTGTTTTCTGCCTTTGTTTCCCCAGGCCCATGTGTTTGATCTGAGCATTAATAAATACGAAGCTATCTGCAACCAGCCTGTTGTGGCCAAGAAGAAAAACAAAATTACCCATATCCAGTTTAACCCCATCTACCCCATTATCATTATTGGAGACGACCGAGGCCATGTCACCTGCCTGAAACTCTCCCCCAACCTGCGCAAGATGCCAAAGGTAAGCAAGTGGTTAATTCCTCTAAATTTAAAGCACCGCATCGCAATTCATAGGACACAGGAGACATAGGGTCTAGTCCTAGATCTGACGCTGCCTTGTTGTGTGGCCATACGCAGTACGTTAAATCTCTGATAAATGGAGATTACTCACTTCTCAGTTGTGGAGTATGGCATTTAGAGTAGGTTAGTTTACCCACTTATTTTTTCCCCACTACACCACTGTCCTTATGCAGGTCACTTCCTCTCTCTGTACCTCAACTTCCGCATCTGTAAAATGGGGATAATGTTACTGAGCCTTTTTTGTAGAATACCTTGAGATCTACAGATGGGAAATTCTATATATGTGCTAAGTATTAACTAATGACGGTTGGGAGTCGAGTCCCTGCTCTCTGTTACTGTAGGAGGAAGAGAGTTCAAATCCCTTTATGACAGTTGGAAGGATGCTTCATTTTACAAGGCAATAATCTCATGTGAGCAGGTGATTTCCTCACTCTGCTCCAAACACAGGCTACATACACCCGTAGCACGTCAAAACCAACCCGCTTCCTGAGGTTTTGGTTTTATTCACAAATACTCAAACTGAGACAAAATAAAATATGGTCTAAGATGGCTGCTCCCAGGGATCCTCCCAGAGGATTGCACAGCTCAAACCCTATGTCCTCTCTCTCTAGAGAGACATTCCATCTCACTTATATCCAGATGAGGCAACAAAGTACCTCCCCTACATGAATCAGTAAAACCCACGTAACCCTTTCTCAGCAGGATCAATACCAGCTAATAGTGCAGGGTCCAGCAGGCAAACACTGCCAACTCTTATTAGAATAAATCCCTGGGTTTCAGGTGTGTAATCTGTCCAGTCAGGTCCTGGGCTGCCTTATACAGCACAGTCCTTCTCTGTCAACCCCCTACAATAATAGAACCCTATTGTCTCTCTTTTAATGGAGAGTTTTTTCCTTAGTCTCAGGTTTAGCAAAACAGACTCAAGAAAGCAATTTTGTTTAATAATGATGGTTTTACATTTATAAAGCACCTTTCTTCCATATGTTTCAGAGTAACAGCCGTGTTAGTCTGTATTCGCAAAAAGAAAAGGAGTACTTGTGGCACCTTAGAGACTAACCAATTTATTTGAGCATGAGCTTTCGTGAGCTACAGCTCACTTCATCGGATGCAACCACAAAACCCACACACCCAAAAACCCAAAAAAACCCCAAAACCACACACACAAACTCACTATCCTGCTGGTAATTACCAGTGTGTGTGGTTTTTGGGAGGGGGGTGAGGGGGTGAGAGAACCTGGATTTGTGCAGGAAATGGCCCAACTTGATTATCATGCACATTGTGTAGAGAGTTGTCACTTTGGATGGGCTATCACCAGCAGGAGAGTGAATTTGTGTGGGGGGGTGGAGGGTGAGAAAACCTGGATTTGTGCTGGAAATGGCCTAACTTGATGATCACTTTAGATAAGCTATTACCAGCAGGACAGTGGGGTGGGAGGAGGTATTGTTTCATATTCTCTGTGTGTATATAAAGTCTGCTGCAGTTTCCACGGTATGCATCCGATGAAGTGAGCTGTAGCTCACGAAAGCTCATGCTCAAATAAATTGGTTAGTCTCTAAGGTGCCACAAGTCCTCCTTTTCTTTCTTCCATATGGATCCCAAAAGGCTTTACATGTTTTACTAACTGATTGTACTAAGGACAGTCTGTGGCACAAATGCAGAGTAATCTGATTGATTTTACTGGACTTCCCTGGACACTGGTGTAAATTAGATCAGAATCTCTTCCTATACTAACATAACATCAAGAAAAATAGCAAAGTAGCAGTCCTGCTGGTGGCAAACATTATCAGGTGTCTGTGTGGCTAATCTATGCGATGCTACCGCAGAGAGAGACAAACCACAACCCCAGAACATAACATCTGAGAGCTGCAATTCATCTGGGCCCAGATCCTCAAAGGTATTTAGACACCTAACTCCCACTGCTTTCTCCAGGAGTCAGGCATCTAAATATCTTTGAGACTTTGGGCCCTCGTTCACAGCAAGTTTTTTACCTCTGGCTCCTCCTTTGCTGATTTGTTAGTTCTTCATTTGTAAACCATTGTTTCTGTTGCTGACGGTGTCTCCAAGATTGTTGTAAAATTCCACCAGACCATCAGCAGTGTGGGCTAGTGGAAATACCTCAAGCAGAGGCCACGCCGCAAAGAGCATGTGCACGCACATGCGCAAATTAATTGTTTAATTGCTTTGCGTACCACTGAAATGCAGCCAACTCTGGGGTTAAATGTGGCAGCCATTTAGCAGCGCACAGCAACACTATGGCGCAATTTGGAATGGAATCAAATGCCTGATTGTTCTAGCAACCAGCAGCATCCTTGTGTGCAGGTATTAATATTGAAAATGGCCTTTTTAAATCCTCCTTCTTTCTTGCTTTTCTTGTTCCAAATCAGCTTTCACAAAATCTGATTGTATGTCTTTTGCTAAATCTGATTTGCGGCATTTCATGGCCAGTTACTGCTGACTGAGGAATGAAAAGCACCATTTTTCAGGCAGTCTGAGGTAGGACATAAGCAATGGACTCCTTTTTATAAGCTGTGATGTTATTAAGCTAGCCATCTGCCACTTTACCTGCCTTGTTGTATTTGAAGGGACATATAACACTGAATGAAATGTTTCTCCAAATATGAAGAGGAAAGAGTTTTATCAGGCATGATTTACAGGCAAGTACAATAGTTGATTTATTCACGTCTTCTGTCTAAAGCCAGCTCTTAATTTAAAAGGATGAAATCCCTAATAACTAATGACACTCAGATTGAAATCCCTAATAACTAATGGCTACTGCAGATTAGGGTTGCCAATTTTCTAATCGCACAAAACTGAACACTTGTCCTGCCCCTTCCCTTAGGCCCCACCCCCCGCTCACTTCTTCCCCCTCCCTCTGTTGCTCGCCCTTCCGCACCCTCACTCCCTTGCTCATTTTCACTGGGCTGGGGCAGGGGTTTGGGGTGCAGGAGGAGGTGAGGGCTCTGGCTGGGGGGTGCAAGTTCCGGGGTAGTCCAGAACTGAGGGGTTCAGAGTGCAGGAGGGGACTCTGAGCTGGGGCAGGGGATTGATGGACCTCTCCTCCAGGAACTTATCTAATTCTTTTTTGAACCAAATTATAGTTTTGACCTTCACAGCATCCCCTGGCAAGGAGTTCCACAGGTTGACTGTGCGTTGTGTGAATAAGTACTTCTTTTTCTTTGTTTTAAACCTGCTGCCTAATTAATTTCATTGGGGCACCCCTATTTCTTGTGTTATGTTGTGTCCAATGGGAAACACACCATTAAAGATCTTTTTAATCTTTTATTAAAAATACAGAAAAAAGGAAAAACAGCTGAAGCATTTGAAATGTAAAATATCAAGTCAGGCTTTTATTTTAACAACATCTCTTATTCTCTTTTCCTTTAACTATAGAGTTTTTATGAGGAAAACTTCCTGTCTGACAGTCTCATTGATTGTATTAAAGATGGTAATAGCTGTCCTATTTAGGGAAATGGTTAGTTGAAAAGAGTCCGGAGCCCATGCTGTTGTTGTTTTGCTGCTGTTGTAGTCTGATTCCATTTCCTAGAAGACAAAACACGTTCTTTGTTTACCAGACGTGATCTTAACATGCTCCTTGAGTTATATCAGTAGGTCTTTTTGTCCATTCAGTCCTTCTGTCTCCCATTTGCCCTTTTTGCTATTTACATTCATTGTTACAGATTATTGTGACATTTTATGAACCTTTACACACATTTCAGCAATTGAGCTCACAACTGAGGGAGATCTCGGCTATCACAATAGGTCTTTTAAGAGTGCTAAGAACCATAAAATGAACTGAGGAACCCTGACCCTCAAATATCTGCTGTAGCCTCTAGTCCATCTTCTTGCCAGTCTAGTGCCTTGCTCTGTGCCTGGTTTCTGGTCCTGCTGCTGAAGTCATCAGTCTATTCTCCTAATTCAGACACTCCCTGTACACGACTACCTCAAAACCCTATTGAAAAAACTCCTTGAAACGTACTTTGAAAAGGACGTTACAAATAAGGCCAGCATCTCGTGTAGTAGTTGCATTCTGAAAGCATCCTGTAGTTTCTGCATTGACAAGTCTGCCTCACTGGCCTTCCATCCGTTCAGCTAGAAATCAGAGCATGCATTTTGATGGTGTTCCTTGTCTTCCTGTTCTGTTCTGTTCTGTCCTGTCAGAAACAACTGTCTTTGGCTCTTCTGTGTATATGCTAGTGTCCCTCTCCCTCTTGCTGGTCTTTGTGTGCACATGCAAGGTGGCAAAAGGGGGTTTGCACTGATGTTTCTATTTAGAAGAGCAACAAAAATGATTAAAGGTCTAGAAAACGTGACCTCTGAGGGAAGTCTGAAAAATTTGGATTTGTTTAGCCTGGAGAAGAGAAGAGAAGACTGAGAGGGCACATGATAACAGTTTTCAACTACATAAAAGGTTGTTACAAGGAGGAAGGAGAAAAATTGTTCTCCTTAACCTCTGAGGATGGGACAAGAAGTAATGGGCTTAAATTGCAGCAAGGGCAGTTTAGGTTGAACATGAGGGAAAACTTCCTAACTATCAGGGTGGTGAAGCACTGGAATAAATTGCCCAGGGAGGTTGTGGAATCTCCATCATTGGAGATTTTTAAGAGCAGGTTAGACAAACACCTGTCAGGGATGGTCTAGATAATACTTAGTCCTGCCATGAGTGCAGGGGACTGGACTAGATGACCCCTCGAGGTCCCTTCCAGGCCTATGATTCCCACACAGCTGGGACGTGTGCTCTTGATAGATAAGATTGGCAGCCTAACCATTTCTTTTTACAGATAATTCTTAATAGCCACAAGTCATTCCAAAACCTCTGTTTTTCTCTAAAAATAGTCTCATCGCTATCTGTTCCCCAGGCAGGGCTTGTATGATTTGGGAGGTTTTTTAGCCGTGTAGTATAGTTGGATTTCCAGGATGGAGACAACGGGGAGACACTGAGCA